GTAGTGCTACTACATCACAATGCTATACCAAATAAAAATATAAATTTGAAAAATAAAAATGATATTTGAAAAGAAATACATTTGTATCAATTTAATTCGATATGCTCAAAATCGATTTCTTATGAATTTACATTTTTTCCACCATCTTCTTAACCCTTGCTCAAACCATGAAATTATACCAATTATTATAAAAATCAACTCAAAATAAGCAAATAAATAGTACCCCACTTTATCACAATCACAAAAAGTAAAAGATAAATAAAATTTAATTTATTATAATTTGTAATGTAATATTGCATATTCATCCAAAAAATATGAGTAAGAGAGAATGATGGAGAAAAGGGAAAAAAAGAAGAAAGTGACTTCCATTTTTTTTTTTAATTTTGAGCTTCATTTATTTAATGTGTTGTAAATTATGTGTTAAGTGAGGGTTAGTATAGTCTTTTTACAATTATTAGGGGAGGTAAGTGATATTTCTAAAACCTCAAGGGTGCTAAGTGATATTAAGAGAAACCTCAAGGGAGGTTTATGATATTATCCCTAAAAATAAAAATAATTTGAAAAAGAAAACTGGATGGTTCAAAACCACAACGGATTTTTTGTCTCACTTCCTGTGGCACACTCTTTACCTATTTTTTATTATATTGCTATTTTTCCTTTATAAACATTATATTTTAGTTCTTTTTTGTTTCCTTGAGATCCATTAACTATTAACTGAGTAATATACAAAATTTAACAAACTCAAAATATCAAAATGAATAAAAAATGAGATTTTTTATGAATTTTCTGCTGCATTTTTAATTTTTTATTATATATTACCTTTTTGAAACTATTGTATTTATTTTTTATTCAATTAATAGTCATTGGATCTTAAGGAAAAAAAAGAACTAAAATATGAAGGAGAAATAACAATATAATAAAAGTGAGATAGAAAGTGACACAGAAAATAAGATAGAAGATCCGTTGCGGTTCAAAATCAATCTACACGTTGAGTTCAGCAATCCATTTGATGATATGTTCAGTTTATTTATTTTTTCCTAACAAGGAAAGGGTATGATTTAAGAAGCAGGAAAGGGTAGGAAGATTGAAATTCAAGATCTCTAAATCCTAGGCTTGATGCTAAGCTTGGAAGTTGATTGGATACATCATCACCTACGAAGTTTCAATTGAAGTCTTTGGATTTGGCCCTTCCGTTTCGTGTAAATGTTATTCAATTGGAATAGTTGGAATAATTTAGTTGGAAGATATGGTTGGTGCGAAACTTTAAGCTGATCCATGTTTTACTTCATAATGGAGTGATTAGGTTGTAATTAAGAATTACTGCTTAGATGGTAATTCTTGAATATGTTTATAATAATTAACTCCACTTTGCGCTTTTAAACTTATACTATTTTTCTACTTTGCGCTCTAAATTTTAATTTTGGACACTTTGTGCTATAAATTCTCAAGTTTGTCATATTTAAGTCTAATCAATGATAACATTAACAAAATTAACATCATAAAGTACCCTGCAAATTAGTGATAATTTGCTGAAAGTGGTGAAAAGGAGTTAAGGTATCTTAACTAGAATGAAACAATACATTGCTGTTAATTTGCATATTTTATTTCATTCATTTTGCTAACAATAATAGCGATTTGGATCATAGATATCAAGAAAAATGTGCTCAAAACAGTCAAAGGAGCCAAGCAATCGCAACTAGCTACAACAAAATGATATATTTTCAATAATTTGCACTACCATTTATCTTGTTAATCTTGATGACATTGTAATTGATTAGATTTAAATAGGATAAACTAAAAATCTAACGTGTAAAGTATCCAAATTTAAGAGTTTAAGGTATAAAGTGTTCAAAATTAAAATTTAAGGTGCAAAGTAGAAAAGTGATACAAGTGAATGCAAAGTGGAATTAGTCCATGTTTATAATTGATTAGATTGCAACCACCTATGAGTGGACTTGGCGTAAATGACTATTCTTGTTCTTTCTTTCTAATGCATTAATTGTTGAAATTTTGCAAGTAAGATATCAATAGTGGTTGAACTGAAGTTATTATTGTAGGGTCATTCATGTGTTAATTGTCTTGAAAAATAAATTTAAATTGAGAAAGTGTCTAAATACAAAGGAGAAGGACAATAATAGTTAATGAAAATTAGTGATTACATGGTAATTATTGACAAAAAGAAAAATTGTAACTTTTGACTCTGTCTATACCCACTAATGCGTGCATTCGTGTGGGGGGAATTCCAAGTCCAGTCAAAGTATTATATTTGCATTTCCATGTCTTCTAATTTGGTAAACATACGTATTGGTGCTAGGACATCCAGTTCCTGATGAAATCATTATAAAGCAGGGTTTTGAAGAAGAAGATATGATCAAATTATGAATCAGAGACGTACAAATCCATCAAGTTATAAAATTAAGAGAAGATTAGCAGTACCTTACAAATTCTCTCATCACATTATCTAGCGCACTAAGCAGTACCTTACTTGTCTTTCGTGTTTTTGTTTTGTGCCTGTATTTATGTCGGTTTACTTTTTAATTTTTTTCCTAGTAGCAAAGGGATAGGATTTAAGAAGTGTAGAAGAACAAGGAAGGAATTTAAACTTAATACCTTAAAGTCTTGAAATTTCAACCTTAATCACTAAATCAATACTTTCTCGGTACGGGTATTTTAGGGTAATAGATGAATCAAAAATAACAGAACAGGTCTCAATCTCATTAACTTACTACTACAGATAGTCCGTATTTACTGAATTCATACAAAAATAACATGCTCAATTGCATAGGTCTTTATCCCTATTATGATGACAATTGAGATGGTATCTTTTACGTTCAATTTACTCCCCTTCCTCTTAGTATAGAACCAGTTGTAAAAACATTACTGTTCTAGAACAAAAACACAAGCAATATCAAAAAGTCACAGTGTTTGGGCTTCAGACGTGATCAAGTCAACCAAAGTCAAGTCTGAGGTTTCGATTAAGTTGAAGGGCAAATAGCCAAATAGTTCAGTTCCATAGTTTTTCTTTCTTTTGTGCTCCTTTCTTTTTCTTCTTCTAAGATACTCCATCTTAATTAGTTCAACATTCTCTTGCCGCGTCATTTGTTGAATCCGCCTCTGAACATTGTTGTAGACATCATGAACTCTAAGTATGAGGCTCCACCATACACTAATGCCTTGGTGAAAGATTGTCGGCCATTATGCAAGTACTGATCTAACACAGTTATAGAGGGAGAAACAAATGTGCTAATTTTTTTGGCAAATTTGAAAGTGAAATTCGGCCATCACTTTGTTAATGTGACCAACGTCTTGTTGGATTAGGACCACTCCTTTTTGTAGATAAATTTGTATAGTTCTAATTAGTTATTTCTTCTCTACTATAAAAAAAAAAAAAGCAAAATACACGCATTTGGATGTCCCTCCCCACCTTTAACTCCTGATTTTATCGACCATCAAGAAACTAAACATATATTTATGATAAATGATTATAGAAATTATTCTACATGAATTCCAAATTAGGAAAAGCAATGAAGCTACCAGGATTTGAATCCTGAGGGAAAGCTTCACTTATTTGATTTTCATGAAATATCTAATCATTGAGTCCTGTTAAGTTTCCAATGGTGGCAGGAATACGTCCTGTTGAATTTACTTTATCTAAAGGCATATAATTCACTTCTTTTGCCCCACCTCCGAATAAAATCGGGAACTTGAATAATTGGTAAGGTTGTCATTATATTAATTTAACAGAGATTTGAGCTTAAAGTTGAATGCCAAGTTGGTCAAGAGACGTGGGTTCCCATTTTCGTCAGTAGTGAAACTTGAAGGCTGATTTTGACTAAAGGGAAAAAAAGGTGGTCGAGTTGCTCAATTCTGCAACAGATTGTGGAATTTGATTGGTAAGGTATTGTGTGAAAGATCAAATTCCACAAGAATTTTAACCATCTCGATTTCTACAGAACAGGTCCCCAAAGAAAGTCATTTTAAAAAAAGAAAGCAGCAACAAAGTGAAGTCGCCAGAGTTTCCAATTAAAACAAGTGAGGAATTTGACTGAGGAGATTGTTTCCTGATAGATTGATCCACAGGAATTCTCTGCTTCTCATTAGTGTTTTGATAAATTCGGGTTTTCAACAATTCACTAAACACATGCATAAGTCTGGACTTTGGTACATAATTCTCGCTGAAAATAATATCCAGTGGCCTAAATTTGCCCGGAGAAGTCCTCCTCCCCCACCCCACCTTCGTATGCTTGTTGGTTTGCTTATTTTTGTTTTCGAATTTCATCGTCTGACTTCTTAAATTTCTTGCTCAAGATCAATAGGAAACAAAAAGCTGTATTGTAAAACGTTTCTTTACTTTAGAGCAAATTACTCGTCACACAACGATTTCCAAATTGTGCTGTTAATATGCGTTTGGTTGTTCATTGTGCAGCATTTAGTTGCTTCCATCAGGTAGTGCTAATCAGGTTATCCTCCTATATTTGCAGCCTCTTCCGATTGTGGACCAATTAATTTTAGTGCTTTAATACTTGCTATAAAGAAGAAAGATCGTTCTAGTTTTAGTTGCTGGAGGCTCTAATGCTTCCAGATCCAAACGTGTGAGACATTTGAATGATGAATGTGTGTTGAGAAATCTAGTTGAAAGCTTTCCTAATTCTGATTTTTAACCAAGAAGCAAGAACACTGTATATATATGATGCATCATTATTATCGTTGCCATGTTTGATTTTTTGACACACACAACACAAAACTTTATTGATTTTCCTTAGAAGTTTATATACATACTTCCCGCTATTGAACCTTTGTGACGTTTGTCCCAAGCGAAGGACAAGAAAATTGGTGTAACTGATGGGATATCCAAATCTATATCCCTACAAGCATATGCTCAGCCAAGTCACATCTTTAACATTACTCCTTTCCTGATGCACAAAACTCTACTAAACTTTTCTACCACGGACCGGGTAACGCAGGTACTTTCTTTAGTGCTCCATTTCCAAGACCCTGGCTCAAGCTGTTCAAAGTATCAGATCCAAAAATTAGAAGATTAGCAGTCATAGGGATGCGTGTACCTTGGAGTCAAGTTTTGAGAGTGAAATTCGTGCGCAGTAACACTCTAACTAGATATTTATCCCTGCTTTTGCACTTACATTTCATTACATACTTAAACCAACGGGTCCAAGCAAAATTTAGCCAAAACGTAATCAGTTGCAAACCACAAGAACAAGAAATTTTGGATAAAGAAAAGGAAAGATACGTACACGCAGAAGCTCTAAAATTCATGATTTTCAGATCAAGAAGTTGTCCGATTGTGACCATTGGGAATATGTCGAATTGAGATGGTGTTTCCTTCAATAGTTGGACAGACACTTGTTTCATGGTTGGCCTTAACTGGGGATTTGGTTTTATACATGACAATGTCAGCTTTGCCACCAACACCAATTGTTTTGACTCTTGATTACTTGAAAAAGAAAGTCGAGGGTCCACAAGATCTTTCAGTAATACATTATATGCTGTTGATAATGGTGCTGATATGAAATCACCTGGATGCTTGCCCATGATCACTTCTAAAGCCAATCCTCCAAAACTATAAACATCACATTTTTCATTTACTTCCAAGGTATAAGCAAGTTCTACAATTCACCAAATCAGAAATCACTTCAGACTATTGTGCAGATGAACCCCTTCAAATATTTTAATTATATTCAAGAAGCAAAACTGTTTAACTGAATTTAGTTTTAAGTACATATCGATTAATTGAAAAAGGGAATCTAAAGATAAAAGCTAGATTCCTTTGAGCAAAGAGCAGTATACCTGGAGCAGCATATCCATAAGTTCCTGCAAATGACGTCCAACAAGATGAATCAGGCCTGATGAGTCTTGCAGTACCAAAGTCAGAGATGTGAGCTTGATACTTGGAATCTAACAGAATGTTTTTGCTAGATATATCTCGATGAACTATAGAAGGCAAACAATCTTGATGAATGTAGGACAATGCTTTTGCCACATCTTTGACAATGTTTACCCTCTTGATCCAATCGAACATGGATGCTGTTTCATCATTGCTCAATAACTGCATCAAGCTTCCACCTTTCAAGAATTCATACACCAAGAAAGTGTGTTGTGTATGTGAACAGAAGCCATAGAGCTCCACAATGTTACGATGCCTAATATTTGTTAGCGCCTGGATCTCATTGGTGAAATCTTTCAACCTCCTCAAGGCATCACCATCTGTTGCATGAAGTTTCTTGACAGCAACAACTTGACCATTTGGCAGCTCTGCTCTAAAAACCCTTCCACATCCTCCCACTCCAATGCAATACTTGGGGTCAAAATTTTCTGTTGCATCAATGATGTTCTCATAGACCATTTTTCCATCAAAGCTCCAGCTAGCAAACAAATTTCCTGTTAATTCCTGAGATTTATTCTCCACATGTCTTGTATGTGACTGTGAACGGATTAAAATGCTCACAACTACTATCAAAAGAAACATGGTTCCTAATAGTGGAAGGACATTTAGCAAAATAATCCTTTTACTTGTCCTTCTACTGGTTTCCTTTTGAGTTGATCGAGGGCAAGGCTTCAATCCGACAAATCTGCCACATAAACCTTTATTGTTTCTCAAGGCATCAAATGGAGCTTTTTGAAATGCAATAATGTTGGGAAGAGGACCTTCCAATTGATTGTAGGATATATCAATAGATATCAGACTGAAGCAATTATCAAAGCTGGAGGGGATGGTTCCTGTTATTCTATTATGTGATGGATTAATCTTCTCAATGCTTTTCAAATCGCCTAGCTCTGGTGGCAATTTGGATTCCACCATGTTTTGGCTGAGATCAAGAGTTTCTAGCGAGGGAAGAATTCCTATTTGAGACGGTATGCTTTCAATGAGTGCATTGTGGCTCAAATTCAGTTCCAATAGCTGTGTGCAATGGCCTAATTTTTCTGGAATATGGCCACTAAGATTATTGGCCGACAAACTTAGATTTAAAAGTGCACCAATTTCTAATGGTATATTTCCTGATAGATGGTTCTTGTCAAGCTTAAGCTCAAGCAACAAATTCAACTTCCCCAGACTTCTTGGAATGTTCCCGTGTAAGCGATTAGAAAAAAGGTGAAGTTGTTGCAGGCGAGATACTTCGCCAAGCCCTGTTGGTATTCTGCCAGAAAGATTGTTGTTCGAGATCTTCAGCATTGTCAAATTCAGAAAGGCGCTCCAATTCCAAGACAACTCACCATAAAATTTATTGTTGCTCAAGTTAATATGGTCCACTTGTGGATAAACTCCAAAATCTTCAGAGATATTTCCTGATAGTTGGTTTCTTTGGATAGTTATAGCTTTTAGGCTTCAACAGTTTTTCAAGCTTCTTGGAATGGAGCCCACAAAGTTATTATCTTGTACTGTGAACCACTTCAGTGAGCCACCATTGCAAATGTTTTGGGGCAAATGACCAGTAAGATTGTTTTCATTTACTTGTAGCATTTGTAGATTGGTAAGATTACTGAATACATTTGGAAGAACACCACTTAGTTGGTTCGTGAAAAGAAGAAGAACAACTAGTGTCTTCATATTTCCCAATTCAGGAGGGATAGCGCCATGTAAGTTGTTTTCATAAAGTATCAATTCAGTTAATCTTGTTAAATTTCTAATGGCTGAAGGAATATGCCCTGTGACATTGTTTCCATAAAGGGATAAAGAAGTTAGCTTTTCCAATTTAGCAATAGAATCAGGAATCTTCCCTATGAGATTGTTATTATACAGCTGAAGAGTCTCTAGAAATATGAGTTTTCCAATCTCTTCGGGGACAGGTCCAGATAGATAATTATTGAAAAGATAGAGCAAAGTCAAGTTTCCTAAGTTTCCAATAGACCGTGGAATGGGTCCGGTGAGCATGTTCTCAGCAAAAGAGAGTTCGACGAGTGATTGGAGTTTTCCAATCTCTTCTGGAAAGGGACCTGATAGCTGGCTAATCGCAAAAGAAAGGAGATTGAGTTTTGTCAAGTTTCTAATTCCTGAAGGAATACTTCCTGAAAGATTGTTGGTTCCTAAGCCTAGAATGGTTAGGTTGGTCAGATTTCCAATAGAGGTAGGAATTGATCCTGTAAACTCATTCAGTTCCAAAACGAGTTCAACAAGAGATGTGAGAAACATAAGCTCTTTGGGGATGGGGCCATAGAATGAGTTATTGGAAAGGTACAAGAACCTAAGGTTGGTTAGTTGATTGATTTGAATTGGAATGGCACCAGTGAAGTGATTTGAATGCAAGCCAAGATGGGTTAGTCTAGAAAGATTACCAATCTGGGATGGAATGCTTCCATGGAGTGCATTTTCATAAAGATCAATATAGTTAGATTGGGTAGAGACAAGAAATTGAGATGATCAATTGTACCTTTAATGCCAGAACTAGTAATGTTAATGACTGATATTCTTCCAGCTTTGTTACATCGAATTCCAAGCCAATTGCTGCAAGAATTGGAAGAAGCCGACCAGGATGACAACTGGGATTGGCTATGACTATCAAGACTGGCTTTCCATGTTAAGAGAGCTTTCCCTTCACTTCCATTTCTTGATAAAGCATCTGCATGCATTTGGGAAGTAGCATTTATTGCAGAAGTAGAAAGCAACTGTAGGATAGCCATGGGTACAAAAACTAAACTACTGACACTCAGTATTCTTCAGGATGAACATATTTACTTCCTGGTGATGTTCTCAAGAGAAACCTTTTGCTGTGAAGCTGGTGGCCTTCGTTGCATATATGCAAGTATTTATGGAGTTGTAGATCCAAAAAATGGATCCCGCCACCAAAGATCAATTCCAATCCTCATCTATGTAGCAAAAAAGTCCTGGTTCTTAATGAATTACTACTTGACATAGATGACAGACATTGATTACATGTATCACAAGTTGAATGCATTTATGCATTTGTTGAGAGCACTCATGTAATACCAACATTTAGCTTTTGCTTTAGAAATATAATCTTCATTGAATTTAATTTTATTAATTTTCATAAGGACTAAATTTGATTCATTAAAGTTTAAAGTCAAAAATTTGAAATTTTTTGAAGTTTTCTTAAGGATTATGATAATGTATGCTATATGAGCGTTACCATTTCTATTAAACCTATTGTTTTCTAGAGTTTGCCTTTGCCTTATGTATTAGGGAATTAAATCATATGGTGTTTTAAGAGAGAATCAATGGAAGTAATATATGTAACTCGTTTCGTTGTTATTATTATTATTATTATTATTATTATTATTTTGGGCATTTAACTAGTTTCTTCAGTGGTTCACATAATCGGACACAAATTTTGGGTATAATGCACATAATCATGTTCCATAATGATCAATTGACAGAATTAAGAATAAAGCTCTTAATTCATTTTCTATGACTTTGGGTTGATCAAAATCCACATTTACAAAAGTCAAAATTTGATGGACTATGACTAAGACATCGCTTATGATTAATTAGGAACTAAGGGTGTATCCTTTTCCCGTAGGTTTTGTTCTTTTCAAGAAACTTGTCAATACGGCTACTAAGCCTTTGTTTCAGTCCCGCCTTTAAGTTCTTGATGTTTTAATTGTCAAAGGCGTGCTTTCATGGTTTGATAAAATGGAAAATTATTTGGCAATTAAAGATTTAGGTGGCCAACTCTCCATCTCTATTGGTTTCTTTATTCAGAAAACTTTAAAGAACCAATTCTAGAGTCTTAATTTAAAGGAAGAGTTAGTGCTTAAGTTCAGCCTATTACTTTTTTGGCTTTATAATGGAGCAACCAAGTTGGTTTAATTAATACTTAGTGCTTAACTGATAATCATTGACTAATCATTTACTCTAAGATTGAGAAATCTTTGGATTTTGGGAGTAATTAACAGTTAACCAAAGACGTGGATAATCTGTGCCATCATTCAATTGGAAAAAAGACGTGGATAATCTCACTTAATAATCGCTCAATAAGCTCGCAAGCACCTTGCAACAGTGAACGATTTTTTTAACCCTCAATAAGTTTCAAACTTGCTCGCAGGCACCCTGTAATGTTGAGAATAGCATTCTCAAGCGATTTTCAGCTTGATTTTTCGCATTTTTTTTGCAGACGGATGTTGAGAATAACATACTCCGGCAGTTTCCAGATTATTTAACGCCAGTCGCTAATCAGGGCGTGATTAACTTTTGTTGGGTGTTTCCAATCATTGACATAATCATAACTTATTATTATATGGAACAGGAGGAACACGTGAACAAAATTTTAGTGCCGCTGTCGAGGCAATAGCTCATAGATAAGGCATCGGAGATGCCAAGAAGAGGAGATGCATGAAGAGAGTTACGCAAATAGTTTAGAAAATGTGTTCGAATACGTTCAAAAAAATGGAGTATATTCCCAAAATACGTATCTAAGTTATGACTATTATAGAGATCAGGATAGGGAAGCACTATATCCAAATTGTTGAAAATATACGGTGTTTAGATGTAGGATGATTTCTAGGGACGAGGCATATTGGATGTTGAAAGACCGATCGGTTCTAGCTAATTTGAGATATGCAACGGTGTTTCAACTTTGGAAATATTTTACAAAAGTATGGGAGGAGAACTGCTTGGCAAGGAGACAAAGAATTAATAGTTGTTCCAGGCTTCAAGCAAGCAAAAAGATATAAGAATACATATCATGTTGTACTATTGGTTGCGTCGGGACCGTTAGTACCGGTAAGTCCTATCTGAATGCAGCTGATTGTTACGACGGATTATAACCTATTGGTTCACTAGGCATATAAGAAAATAAAGTTAACAGTAAAGGTTCATACTTTGAATACTAATGATAATAAGTATAGTAGTCCATAAAGGAAAACAATACCAACACTAAAAGTTTAACATCTATATTTAATTTAAAAATGCTCAAAAGCATGCTACTAGAAGCCAGTAATAAGCTGAGGTTAGAAAGAGATACCCAGATCATTAACACCCCCATCATCCCCAACCGCATCATCATTTCCAACGGCATCATTATTCCAAATCACAACCCCCAATAGTTTAACATCCTCAAGGATGCAAAAATCACTTAATAAGCTCGCAAGCACTCTGCAATAAGCATTACTTAATAGTCCGCAAGCACCAGCACCCTGCAATAGCTTATTGCAGGGTGCTTGCGAGCTTATTAACGATTTTTGCATCCCTGAAGATGTTAAGCTAATGGGGGATACAATTGGGAATGATGATGTGGTTGGGGATGATGGGGGTGTTAATGATCCAAAAATGCATCCAGTTTGAGAAGATAGAAAAGTTAACTCGGGAAGTAAAATCTTAATTCATTTATAGAATAATGGTCTCAATTCTCATGTTTTATATAAACTATATTTAGGAGAATAATCAAATAAGAAAGTTCTTCCTTTTGCCAATTTCTCATATTCCACCTTTACAATCCCCAACACAGTAGTAAGCAAGCTAAAAATCCTCTTTAGCTGCATAAAAAAACTAAATTGTACCCTGACAAACATCAATATCTTGAATGAAAAAATTTCTCAACTTGACAAAAAATCATGTTTTACCCAGAGGATAAGCTGCTTGAAAACTATTTGTACTATAAGAGATAGAAAATAATATCCAAACAATTCATAATAGTAATTTATTTCATGCAGTCACGTCAATGCTTTCTACTCCAAGATAGGACATTGATCATTCAATTTTTTGTGCTAACATGAATAGAAGATCATAACACAAAGTACAAAATTAGGTATGAACTATTACCAGAAATTACCTTAGATCTGCACTCATTCATAATGTCGATACACTCATTTCTTTCCATGCCAGTGAGACTTGAGGCAATTGAAACACTAAAATTTGGAATGCTATCAGTGATTGTTATGCAGATACAAGAAAGATATTAAGTGAACAATCCTATCATGAAAAAGAACAAAATAAAGATGTCTCAGAAGCGAAAAAGGGAAAAAATCATACATCAAGCATGATAATTTTGTAATTTATTTGAAAAATAATTAAGCACAAGTATCAAAGAATGCCAAGAAATCTCATGCTATGCATTCATCATTGCATTGCCCATGATTATTAAGCAGTCTTTAGCTAAACATGTATAAAATCATTCTCCATACAATATCGGGTAACACAAAATATCATAGTCAGGCGTTAAAACAATATCAAGATGAAGAATAAGATGGTAAACTCTAAAACATCATCTCTGGCTTAGAGAAAAGACTACATAGAACCTGATAGTTTGTTAGGTCCTATCTGAATGCAACTGATTGTTACGACGGATTATAACCTATTAGTTTACTAGGCATATAAGAAAATAAAATTAACAGTAAAAATTCATACTTTGACTACTTGAACACTAATGATAATAAGTATAGTAGTCCATAGAGGAAAATAACACCAACACTAAAAGTTGAACATCTATATTTAATTTAAAAATGCTCAAAATCATGCTATTAGAAGCCAGTAATAAGCTGAGATTGGAAAGAGATATTCGGATCATTAACACACCCATCATCCCCAACAGCATCATCATTCCCAACCGCATCCCCCATTAGCTTAACATCCTCAGGGATGCAAAAATTACTCAATAAGTTCGCAAGCACCCTGCAATAGTGAACGATTTTTTTAACTCTCAATAAGTTTCGAATTTGCTCGCAAGCACCCTGCAATGTTGAGAATAGTATTTTCAAACGATTTCAATTTTTTTTTGCAGGCTGATGTTGAGAATAGCATACTCCGGCTGTTTTCAGATTGTTTAACGCCAGTCACTGATCAGGGCGTGATTGACTCTTGTTGAGCGTTTCCAATCATTGACATAATCGCAGTTTACTATTATATGGAATAGGAGAAATACGTGAACAAAATTTTAGTGCCGCTATCGAGGCAACAGCTCATAGATAAGGCACTGGAAATGTCGAAGAAGAGGAAATGAGAGATGCATGAAGAGAGTTACGCAAATAGTTTAGAAAAATACGTTCAAAGGAATGGAGTATATTCCCAAAATGCGTATCTAAGTTACAGCTATTATAAGGATCGGGATAGGGAGGCACTAGATCCAAATTATAAAAAAAAAACGGTATTTGGATATAAGATGATTTCTACAGACGAGGCATATTGGACGTTGAAAGACAGATCGGTCCTGACTAATTTGAGATATGCAACGGTGTTTCAGTTTTGAAAATATTTTACAATAGTATGGGAATGGGACTGTTTGGCAAGGAGACAAAGAATTAATGGTTGTTTCAGACTTCAAACAAGCAAAAAGATATAAGAATACATATCATGTTGTACTATTGGTTGCGTAGAGGACCGTTAGTGCCAGTAAGTCCTATCTGAATGCAGCTGATTGTTACGACGGATTATAATTTATTGGTTCACTGGACATATAAAAAAATAAAGTTAACAGTAAAAATTCATGTTTTGATTATTTTGAATATTAATAATAATAAGTATAGTAGTCCATAGAAGAAAAAACAATACCAACACTAGAAATTGAACATCTATATTTATTTTAAAAATGCTCAAAAGCTTGCTACTAGAAGCCAGTAATAATCTATGGTTGGAAAGAGATACCCGGATCATTAAAACCCCCATCATCCCAAACCGTATCATCATTCCCATCCGTATCATCATTCTCAAACGCATCCCCCATTAGCTTAACATCTTCAAAGATGCAAAAATTGCGCAATAAACTTGCCAGCACCTTGCAATAGTGAACGATTTTTTTAACGCTCAATAAGTTTTGAGCTTGCTCGCAAGCACCTTGTGATAGGGTGTTAATTATTAGTAATTTTATTGTTAATTTTCCTCTTTATCCTTGCCAAATATTGTTTTAATTGTCAATATATATTTATATTTGGTATTTGGATATACTTTCAGAAAGTGGAGCAGAAACCTTCTTGAGAAGATTATTGTGAAACTCTATACAATTGGCCCATATGCATGGTGTAAACCAACGTCCTTTTCTTTCTATGATGAAAAGGAATTGAATTGCATTTGGCTGGCCAACATCTCAATTAGGTGGGGACCGCGAAGACTTGACCATTGTGTAAAGACACATTTTTGGTTTGCTTTCTTATTTGTGAACGTGTGCACTTGGTCAAAGGAAACCGACAAACCATAGTTGGCTTTGCTTTTGTTTTCGGTGGAGTTGATTAGGTAGGGAAGGAATGTTTTCTTTTGTAAGCGGGGAGTGAAGTTTCGAATAGGCTTGTTTTTATGTGTGGGAGAGCCGCACATTTCCAGAGCTCAGTTTTTCTTCTTCTCTTCCGTCTGGGAAGAGGAGTTTTTAGTTTTGGGGTGAAGATTTCTTGCGTGTCTTGTTTTCTTCCGTCTCTTCCATGAGACTATTTTTATTGTATTAGACTACAGAGAATACAATTCTTATTTTTAATTATTAGTAAGAGATAAATGTCTTTGAGTTCAATTAAATTGCGTGGGAATTTTCTTATGAGGCGTGGCTAATTTTCTCCTCTAGTCAAGGATCAACGCGAAGACGCAGTCCCAAATATCTGTGAGATCTAATTAATTTTACGTGTTCCTTAATTTATTAATATTTGCATGTTTTCTATTTTAATTTCCATGGGATTATTTTGTTAATTGTATATCAAGGGCCCGATGTGCAATTTGACTTATTAATCTCTTGTCAAATTAATCAATTAAATCCGTAATTGTTTAGTTGGTTAATATTAGTGACAACTAGTATTTTCACATACTAGGGGGACATGCAATCTGATTTAAATAACCCTCGTAGCGTGTTATTAATTTGGGTTAGGCTTTTCTAGTTTTTAATGCAATTAGGAAATTAATTCCTACGGTCGTACCTAGGAGTATTTCCTGGTTAGGGGTGATCAACGGTCGTACCTTGGTTATCAATAAATTAAGGAAAAGCTGGTCGTTAGAGTTTATCGGCGACTATAACTAACCTGTTAATAAAATTAAGTGAACCTTCTTTGCATCAGTGATCGGATGAATGGACTGTGTCTGCGTAGTTGTATCCTTGGCTAGAATTTATTTATCATTTATTTAATTGATATTTACAATTGTATTAATTAATTAATTATTTTTGGTTAAATTATTTAATTATTTTTAGTTAAATTGTTTAATTATTTTTAGTTTATTTCTGATAAAAATCCCCCGTGTCCCGAACTTGAAAAGAATCGAATTTTTTCCAGTCTCTGTGGATTCGACCCTACTCACTACTATACACAGAAAATTCATTTTTCTCGAGTAGGTATTTATTATTGCACAGGCTCGACACCTGTCAATTTTTGGCGCCGTTGCCGGGGACTGGCGTTAATTATTTGTTTCTTTTTAAGTTCATTTTTGTTCTAATTTTCTGGTATTTTTCTAGTTTATGCCTCGCTCTTCTCGTACAGGCGAATTAATTTTCGATCCTGAAGTAGAGAAGACCGCACGTAGAACGAGGAAAGAAACCAGGCGGCTCAGGGAGGAGCAATACGATATTGCTCCTCAGGAATTTGATCCAGAGGTTGAGCCGACAAATTTGTCTGGTGACAATTCAAGTGATTCAGACCAAGAGGAAGTCACTATGGCAAATGCACGAACACTAAGGGAGTTGGCTGCTTCTGATTTAAATCAGCAGCCCTTGTGCATTACTTTTCCACATTTAAATGATGACACTCCCTTTGAACTAAAATCTGGTCTAATTCATCTCTTGCCATCTTTTCATGGTCTACCAGGTGAGGAGCCCTACAAGCACTTGCAAGAGTTCGACGTCGTTTGCAACAGTATGAAGCCTCCGGGAATTACAGAAGAGCAAATAAAGATGAGGGCTTTCCCCTTCTCTTTGAAGGACTCTGCAAAAGACTGGCTCTACTACCTACCGCCTGGTAGTATCACCACGTGGGATCAATTGAAGAAAAAATTTCTGGACAAGTACTTTCCGGCGTCTCGAGCTGCGAGCCTGAGGAAAGAGATATGTGGTATCAAACAACACCCTAGCGAGTCTCTCTATGAGTACTGGGAGAGATTTAAGAAACTGTGCACCAAATGCCCTCAGCATCAGATAAGTGAGCAACTGCTCATTCAATATTTCTATGAGGGGTTGCTTTTCAGGGACAGAAGCATAATCGATGCTGCAAGTGGAGGGGCGTTGGTGAACAAAACCCCTCAAGGAGCATGGGAGTTGATTGAAGGGATGGCTGAGAACTCACAGCAGTTTGGTTCAAGAGAGGACATCCCGACGCGTAGGGTGAATGAGGTGGAAACGTCCTCTATCCAACAGCAGATCTCCGAATTAACATCTTTCGTAAGACAATTAGCTGTGGGGAGTGCTTCACATGTCAAAGTGTGTGGGGTATGCACTGCCGTGGGTCATCCTACGGAAATGTGTCCACTGGTTCAATAAGAAACTGCAGAACAGGTGAACATGGCTGGCCACGCGCCCGCGCCAAGAAAGCAGTACGACCCGTACTCAAGCACCTACAATCCTGGTTGGAGAGATCACCCCAACCTTAGCTATGGAGGAAATAGGCAGTCTAACTTTGTGCCAAATAGACAGCAAGGACACCAACAGCAGTACTATCCTCGCCCACCACCACCACTCCCTTCAAACTCGAGTCCGTCCATGGAAGAGATGATGAAGCAATTACTTGCTAATCAACAAAAGACGGATTCAGACCTGCAAAGCATGAGAAATCAACTAGGACAGGTACAATCATTGCAAAATCAAATGAATCAAATGGCTATAACAATCAACCGTTTGGAGTCCCAAGTTCAAGGAAAATTGCCATCTCAACCTGAGGCAAATCCAAAGAATGTAAGTGCAATGACTTTAAGGAGTGGCAAGGAAGTTCAAGAACCCGAACCGGTGATTCCTAAAGACAAGGACGATGAACGGATTGAGAAAGAATTGGAAGAGGAGGGCACAGACAACAAAAATGCAAAGGTACCCTCGAACCCAATTCCTACATCTAAAACTAATCCACCTCCCTTTCCTAGCAGGTTAGAGAAACCAAAGAAGCAAGACAAGGAAAAAGAGGTCCTGAAGATCTTTCGCAAGGTGGAGATCAACATACCCCTACTGGATGCGATTAAACAAGTACCCAGGTACGCAAAATTTTTGAGGGACCTGTGTGCCAACCGCAAGCGGTTGAAGGGGGATGAACGAGTTATAGTTGGGGAGAATGTTTCAGCAATTCTACAAAGAAAGCTTCCACCGAAATGCGGAGATCCAGGTATGTTTACTATTCCTTGTAGGATAGGTAATACTTTGATTGGAAAGGCCATGTTAGACCTGGGAGCCTCAATTAATGTCATGCCAAAGTCCATTTATGCTTCCTTAAACTTAGGCCCTTTGAAAGAGACTGGGATAATAATCCAATTAGCTGACAGGACCAATGCATACCCTGACGGGTTGATTGAAGATGTTTTGGTAAAAATTAACGAATTGGTTTTTCCAGCTGATTTTTATGTGCTCGACATGGAGGATGAACACTCCCGTGATCCGTCACCTTTGTTGTTAGGTAGACCCTTTTTGAGCACAGCCCGAACCAAAATTGATGTTAATAAGGGTACTTTGTCTATGGAATTTGATGGTGAGATTGTTCACTTTAACATCTTTGAGACCATGAAATATCCATCCGATTCAAATATTGGCTCTGTTTTCTCGGTAAATGTTATTGACCATGCTATACAGGAGGTTTTTGAAATTGAAGGCAGGGATGAACTAGAGGTCGTCCTGACCAGGCACTTTGAGTCCGAAACGACCTCTAGGGTAGAGTTGAGTGAAGAGCTTAAATGCGTGATTGGATCGTTGCAAACATTACCAACCACGAAGACAAGGTATGATCTTGCACCGATTTTCATACCCAAACCTCACCAAAGGTTACTTCCATCTGTGGTGCAGGCACCTGTCTTGGAACTAAAACCACTGCCGAAACACCTAAAGTATGTATACTTAGGTGAAGGGGAGACACTTCCAGTGATCATCTCCGCGGGTTTATCAAAGGTTCAAGAAGAGAAACTACTTCGAGTTCTTAGGGAACATAAGCAGGCGATAGGATGGACTATCGCCGACATCAAGGGAATTAGCCCTGCGGTGTGTATGCACCGAATTCGACTCGAGGAGAATGCTAAACCCGTACGGCAAGCTCAACGGAGATTAAATCCTCTCATGATGGAGGTCGTAAAGAAAGAGATTTTAAAACTGCTGGACGTTGGAATTATATTTGCAATATCAGATAGCCCGTGGGTAAGTCCAGTACAGGTGGTCCCGAAGAAGGCAGGGGTGACAGTGGAATCAAACCAAGAGGGTGAGCTCGTACCAATTCGAAAGCCCACCGGATGGCGACAGTGTATCGATTACCGAAAGCTAAATGCCGTCACGAAAAAAGACCATTTCCCCCTCCCTTTCATTGACCAGATGGTGGAGCGATTAGCATGTCGAGCTTACTATTGTTTCTTGGATGGATTTTCAGGTTATTTTCAAATTGCCATCGCACCCGAAGACCAAGAGAAGACTACTTTCACCTGCCCATTTGGAACATTTGCATACCGAAGGATGCCATTTGGATTGTGCAATGCACCTGCTACCTTCCAAAGATGCATGGTAAGTATCTTTTCAGAATATGTTGAGAAGATTATTGAGGTTTTCATGGACGATTTCAGTGTATATGGTGAAAGTTTTGA